GGTTACCTGTTATTGCTTTCAAGATAGTTCCTGCAGCATTAATGAGTCCGCGTTTCCTTCGCGATGCGCTTGTCGTATCATCGAAAATCTCGTAATATTTTGATCCTAGGGAGGAGACTGATATGCGTCTTAATTTCGCTTTTGAAAATTTTCATGGGGTTGGCTGGTCCAAACTTCATTCGAAATTTTAAGAGGGGCGTCGTCGTGGAAATATATGCCTAAAGTGTTGTTAACTGGCTATTTGGGCTGAAACACCGCAAGAAACAGCAGACTACACCTGAAAGAGAAACTAAGTCTCAAAACATGGTTTCACTCTACCGAAATTAACTTTAGTAATTCTGTCTGTTTCTGGTTTTTGAGAAGTGCTGAATTTTCAAAAACTTGAGTGATTTCGAAAGGGCCGTCAAATTTATTTTGAAGTTTATTAGAAATCTGGGATTGTTTGACAAAGACTTTATCAACAATTTTGTATGATGGCAAATTCGGTGATACTCTGCTGTCAAAACGAATTTTAGCTTTTCGTCTTTGCTCGTCCGTTCTGGCACGGGCAATCGACGACATTAAGCGGTGATCTTTTGTTTTAGGTAGGACGTAGATTTCGAGAGCGGATCCGAACAGTCGACGTCGACGCGGTTTTTCCGGTTTTTGTCCCGGTTCGCGAAACGTTCGGAAGGAAAGCGATACCGTTTCGGAAACTAGAAACTCGGCGCTTTCCGGACGAGCGATAGCCGTCGCGGTAGGAAGAAGAAACATGATCGAAAACGGCCGGTAAAGTCGAAAAAATGGTAGATTTTCGTGCCGTTCGACGTTCACTTTCGATCTCCTCCGAAGATAAAGGAGCTACGAACCTGACGATTTTTGCGTGAGAAAGCCCCGGCGTCGGGCTCAAAGATAGCGTCTTTCTTTTTTTTTCTTTTTCCCTTTTCGTTCGAAAATTTCGATTTTTTTGATTTCCTCGACTACGCGCTACTTTCCGATTTTTCCGCTTTTTTTCCGGGTTCGCGATACGTTCGGAAGGAAAACGATACCGTTTCGGAAACTAGAAACTCGGCGCTTTACGGGGGAGCGAGAGTTGTCGCGGTAGGAGGAACAAACGCGATCGAAAATGGCCGGTAAAGTTGAAAAATTGGTAGATTTTCGTGCCGTTCGACGTGCTGTTTCGATCTCCTCCGAAGATAAAGGAGCTACGAACCTGACGATTTTTGCGTGAGAAAGCCCGGACGTCGGACTCAAAGATAGCTCTTATTTTTTTCTTTATCCCTTGTCGTTCGAAAGTTTCGATTTTTTAAAAATTGCTCGGCAAAATGCTACTTTTCGACGCGTGAAAAAGTAACTTTGTCATCCGGCTCTGTCCTCGCCTATTATACCGTACGTGAGCGAGTAAAAATTATATAGCTATCGAAAAATAACAATCATGAGCTGACGAAACGATTCTGACCGTCAGAATTACCGTCAAATTTCGGAAAAGTAAACTTTGAGCGCCTCAAAAGTACCGATGACAACCGTTTTTCGGCGTATTTTGTCTTCGTCGATACGGACCTGTGTTACGGAGCGACATAGCTACGATTTTTTTTCGCAAAACGAAAGACCAAAGTCTCCTGATTGACTCGATATACGACACGTTACCCGATCGCATTTAAACTCGGCAGATTATAACATTCAAAGATATGCAGATATTTTGAAGTTTGTTTTAAATAAAGACATCAACGTACAATATTTTGCATAGCGTTAGCATGCCAGCAACTGCGCTAGTTTTATAACAATATTCGAGCTTATTCCGAATATCTCGAACATATTTAGACATTAGTTCCTTTTATAAGTAAACATGATCCGGGGGACGACCAGCTGCGTGGCCGAAAACTAGTTCATATGGGGTAAAGCCTGTAGTTTTATTTCTGGTGCTATTGTAGCACTGAATCGCGTAGGGTAGGATATTGAAGGGATGCTCGTCGGGGTTCTCCGATACATGGGATCCAATCATCTCTAAAAGAGAGGCATGAAATCGTTCGATTGATCCATTGGATTGGGGGTGGCTGACACTTGAAAACGTAAATTTGATATAAAAACTACAAAGATCTTTCATAAGGGCTTTGTCGAATTCTTTTCCGTAATCACAATGCATACGGAGGAGAGTACCATAGTGTTGGAAATATAAAAGAAGAGTATTGACAACGGATTTAGCAGACTTGTCGCCAACTGGGTAGGCTTGAGAACATTTTTTTTCGTATTGTGAGCGCATAAAATTTCGGCGGGACTTCTGAAATGTCAATGTTAATTCTTTCAAATGGGGCTTTGGGAGTTTCGGTTACCACCAAAGGTACACTAAGGTTTTTTCGACAAATTTCAGTTTTTTGACAAATTTCACAATTTCAATGTGATGCTCCACATGTTTGGTTAAGCCTGGCTAATTGTAGCTTTCGCGGATACGTTTGGTCGTTTCGTTAATGCCTCTATGAATATTTCTCTTACCAGAATGGTACTGATCTAAAATGACTGGAGTTTCGTCTGGAGTAGGGGTTTTTGTAATATTTTGACAAACAACAAGCTTAATGTTGTCGTCAGAAAAAATCAAAGAAAACATGTCTAAAATGGGCAGATCTAAGTTATTTTCAACATAGATCTGTTGGGATAAATCGAATATGGTACGAGAGTAATGTAATATTTTCTGTCTTTGACCGTTTTGCTTGACGCAATATTAATTTTGTCAGCAGAAAACTCAAGGTTTTCCTCAAACACATCTTCTGCGACCTTTTCGTGAAGGTCAGAAAGAGTACTTTGCCTAAAGAGTGTGACTATATTGCTTATGGCTCTTGTCCAAAGGCTGGGAGTAGTTAAACAACATCGGGTCTAACTCACTCTGCCAACCCTATCACGTATCAAATTACCCACTAGTGTCAATACTCTCACCCAAAGTGATGAGGAAGGAGAACCTTCCACCCAATTTTCTGATACCGAATTTGACATCTTTGCCCGTCTGTACAAAACGACATCTTTAATAGATTACTCCAAAATTCAATTTTCCAATTCCCAGCAGTAGTTAAACAACATCGGTTCTAACTCACTCTGCCAATCTGCCTCAGCCACCCCACCCACCCCAAACAGGTCAGAAAGGCCCAAAGACCACGTGACAGATCACGTGAACCACCCCCATGACGTCACGTATGCCAAAAAGGCCTAATACCATGTGACCCGCAGAAATGGAGAAAGTAGTGAGTGAGAAAAGTGTGATATATAATTATGCATGAGAGAGTAGTCTCTCGCCTAGCCTATCTTTGGTAGTAAGAAATTTGTACGGATACATATGCATGAGAGGAGCCTCGCCTAGCCTAGCCTAGCCTAGCCTGGTCATGTCATGAGATAATAGTCATATGTGCGAGGGAAGAAATAAAACGACAGCGGTAGTGTGATATTTTTTATGCATGTTACAGTATTAGATATAACATTCCAATTACATAAAAAATGAACATTTTCTAAAGCACAACGCATATTATTATACACATGTTTATAACAATGTTTGTACTGGAACATTTCCTTCAGCTTGCCAAGATTTGGGCATCCTATTTCATGTACATCGGTGATGGGATTACTGATGAATCTTTCCAACCACTGTTTCTTCGGGCGTCCCTTGACAAATATTGGTTGGTCTTGAACATGTTCTTTGATGAACGATGCCAACTGTTCATAATGAAGACATGACTCTTCAGAAGGAGATAAATCCCAATACAGTTGATCTGTGACTGTGTGCTCTTGTTGAGCATTGTAAATTCTACGGGTAGATTAACTAATTTTTGTTGCCAATATCCCGTTGCTGTATTAATGATAGCAATTTCTTTGCAAATAAAGTTGGAGCCACAAGTAAACCCTTGAACGTCAATAATGATCATTTTTGTGGACTGTCGAATGCAAACGCTGCACAAGAAGACTGAACATGAATTGAGATTGTTTATTAGACAATATTCTTTTTATGTACCCAGCTGTCATGTTGCTTATCGAATCCTAACCATCTGACCTTGATATTGTCTCCTTTTTTCCAATATTTTTTCTACAAGATAAACATCAGGATGTTTTACCTTTTGCAGTTGTTCTGTATAAAATATTTTGATTATTTTCATCTTTCAACAAATATGTTATTGGGTTAGTTACTGTTACTTTTCGTATTGTGAAAATCGTTCTATCGTTCTACCAGTTGTGGTAAAATACTTATCCATTTATAAGTTCCCTGCAGACTAAATTCTTTCCACATCATATTTTTTAAAGTTCGATTCACTCTTTCCACAATGGCTGCCTTCTTTTCGCTGAATGTATGATAGTGATTTATATTATATGTCTTCATTAGGTTTCCAAAATCATGATTGAAAAATTCCAGTCCAGCGTCTGTTTGTAGATTTTTGGGTGTTTGTTGTTTTAGTATAGTTTCCATAGCTTTTGTAACCGCTCTACCTGTTTTATTTTGTAAAGGTAGAGCCAAAAGAAATTTAGAAAAGCAATTTATCACAACTAGTATATATTTGATGTCTTTATTTTCACTCGAGTATGGTATCATTTCTACAAGATCTGCTTGGAAAAGGTCGTTTAGAGATTTCAAAATGGTTCGTCTTCTTTGGAAATTTATACGTGCAGGTTTGTGTAGTTCTTCAACGACTTGACGTTTTATGTTTGTTTTAAATGTTTTAACCATTATTCAATATATTGACTTTCTCTTAATTCCTCAACTATCGAATTGATCTCATTAACATGACCCGAGTGACCAGCAGCTCTTGATGCAATCTTTATCATCGCTAGAATATTCCATTGTCGTGGCTATATTTTTATTGTTCATTATTCCATAACCCATTTTTAAAGGAGGTGCTATAATTTTTTTATATTCTTGTAGCTTACCCCATCCAGTTGAGTATTAGATCTGCAGTCCCTCCTGTGGGCATTAGTTTTATATACAATTTGCCTGTAGGTGTTGACATCGTCAGAGCTGCAGAAATTCATGTTCGGATATTTTCTAATACCCTCTCCACACTCCCGCGCGGATCACGGCGTGAAATCGCGGCGCGAATCGCGGTGCAAAACCCGAAAAGTGTTCTACAGTTCCACACTCGCAGATGTTCGCGCCTGCTTCACAGTATAGTTCGCGCTTGAGACGAGTATGGACGGTGAAATTCCTACTGCTGCTGCTGGGCTACTTTGCGCTTTGGCAATTTATAATTACGCCGATATAAGTAAAAGGAAAACAATTAAAAAGAAGTGGAGAAAACGAAGATGGTGGATCACCACCATCTACCGAAATAGAACCATGTAATTAAAATCAAGATAATAATGGTCGCACGCAGCTCAGTGTCTTATATTTACTGCCATCGCAGATACTAAAAAACAAGTATTTCACTTTTAGCTGTATAAAATGACAGTTGTGATGAAGGCTTGAAAAGTGCAATATTCTGCTCATGCTGCACTCACTTATCATGTACTACAAGGGCTGATACTCGATAACTTGACCTCTACCTTATTTTTAGTCTTTGCTTTTTGTTACAGTGCTGTTATGGAGAAGCAAATAGATGAATTAGTTGCTGAACCTTCCGGTGAATTCAAAAAGTTTTCCCGGATGTCGTTAAATGATTTTGAATACTTACTAAATCAAATTTCATCCCAAATTTCAAAACAAGACACCCAATTAAGAAAAGCTATTCCTGCCCAGATACGTCTTGCTATAACATTGCGATACTTAGCCACAGGAGAAAAGCCTTCATTTTTTGTTCAAAATGTCACCACAAATAATATCAGAAATTATTCCAGAAGTTTGTCTAGACCTATGTCAGGCATTGAAGGATGAAATAAGAGTAAGTATAGAAGAAAATATTTTTTTAATGAAAATTTGTTTAAGTATATTGAAAACACACGTATGTAATACAATAATCTTAAATCTAACACGACTGGTTACATCTAAAAATATGTGAGTACCGAATACCAGTGGCTAATATAAATATAACATATGCATCTGACATCAGATCAAAAATATAAATTGATATCAAGATACGGGCAAATTTAGCCGTACATTCAATGTTTTTCATGTGATTTAAGTCAAGTCGAATGCTGTTTGGATTATATTAATTGCCTGATTAGATTCTGGGTTATCGGTGACTTGGTTCGGAATATGGAGGACAGGATATTCAACATCAGGTGTGCGAATCAGCTGGTTGGATTGAATCATAATTTTAGGAGGTGGGGCTGATACTGCTTTTCTATTTTGACAATAAGTTTGTTGAGTCACCTGCTCATAACGATTGGTAGGCTCTGAATACGTAGATGATGATGTGCCAGGCCTTGATTCATTAAAGTTGTGGGCGATGCTGGGATATGTTGGCGATGGAGTTTGCAGGGAGGGCGTCTCCTCCAATTGGTATCGTAGGTACATGCCGTCAATGTCGTGCATAAACTTTAATCTATTAATTTCAGATAGCTTTCGCAACTTATTTGCCAATAATTTGCCATATAAATCGCAATCATCGCTAAGATGGGTTGATGATTCATTTCTGTTTAGCGCGGATTTGAATGTGGCAAGAGCATCTTTAACAATATTTCCAGCATGAATCAGCTCCGAAGGGTTTTGGCGTCGACGGATTGTCTGATTGCCGTCTCTTTGGGTGTCCATAGACTGACTTTGATTTTCATTCGTCTCTTCAAGTATCTCTTCAGTTGGTTCGGAATTTGCTCCTTGAGTCTCCTCCAACCCGCGTTCCTAAAAAAACATACAATTTCATGAAGGTTATATATATATATATATACGTAATTGAAGAGTTTCTATCACTTTGTGGTGTCAGAAGAAGGTTTTATGTTTTCCTTTTTGCAGATACCGTCTTGTCCGGAAGAATGGCTTTGTATTGAGAAAGGATTTGCAAGGAAGTTTCCTCGAGCAATAGGATCAATAGATGGCAAACATATTGTTCTCGACTGTCCGTTCAATTCTGGCTCTGAATACTATAATTATAAAAGAACCTACAGTATAGTATTATTGGCATTAGTTGATAGTCAGTACTTCATATTTGCTGACATTGGCTGCCAATGCAGAATAAGTGACGGTGGAGTTTTCACCAATACTTTGTTATGGAACAAGATATGCACGAATAGCTTAAATTTACCACCGCCGCATCCTTTGCCCGGTTCAAATATTGATGTTCCCCACATTTTTTTAGGAGATGGAGCCTTTGCACTTTCAGAACACTTAATGAAGCCCTATCCTGGTCAGCACAACATAGGATCAGAAAAACGTGAATTTAACAAGAGATTATCTTCAGCTCGAGTGGTGGTGGAAAATACTTTTGGTATGATGACTGCCCGATTTAAAGTGTTTAGAAAGCCGATTCCATTACAACCAGAAAAAGCTACCCTTATAACAATGACTTGTATATTACTACATAATTTCTTGAGACGAAGCTCCACTTCTTCGTGTATCTATACACCACCCGGATTGGCTGAAAATCTTATGAAACCTTTCCCAGGCCTACATACTAAAGGGTCTATGAAACGAGTTTATAACTATCGCCTCTGTAGAGCACGTCGAGTGGTGGAAAATGTATTTGGCATTTCTTCGGCAGTTTTCCGAGTGTTACGAAAGCCACTACTATTGGAACCAGGAAAGGCCGAGCTAATTGTAATGACAATAGCTTATTTACACAATTTTTTGAGAAGAAGTTGTAATTCTTGTAATGTCTATACACAAGCTGGAGACGGATAATTCCAAATGATGAAACAATGACTTCACTACTTCCGTTGAGAAATGTACCTCGCAGGTCATGCAAACGTGCTCAAGAAATTCGAGAAGAATTGGCAGAATATTTTCATGGTCAGCTTGAATTATTTATGTAAGAACATAACCTATACATTTCAGTTTAAAATCTCTAGGCCCTGTTACATATTCGCAATAATGCAAAACAAATAATGATTCGTTTAAACTTACCGTGCTTGATGTTTCTCTAGGGCAATTTTTGTCTAGAAGAAACTTCATCGTCTTGTATGCAAACCAGTTGCTTTCATAAATTTCATCTGAGCCTATTGATAAAAATAAAAAATATATGTAAGTTATATTGTAAGATAAACAAAAATATTAAAATATACCTTTCCCGGTTCCTCCACTTTTCTTCACTTTAGCCCTCTCCCGTCGGAATGAAGAAAGCAAATTGGTCACTTTTTTTTATTTCCTCCACCGGTTGGTTCAATTCGGCAGCTATTTTGACCCATGAATCATATTTTCTAAGTTTGTTATAGTATAATGAATGTTTTGGATTCCATAAGCATTCATTTTGCCTATATAAACTGATTAATTCTAGCACGCGGTCTTCGGTCCACTCCATTTCGCTAGCAGAGAGCCCAAATAATGATTGAAGAAATGAAATTGTTCGTCTGCCTGTCCAAACTTGTGTAACGTCGTCGCGCACTAATCCTTTGATGTTCCGTCCATTTACCGACTTGCCGTGGATCGCGACGTAGTACGAGCTGCAACACATATTAGGTTCGCGATGGCGTTCGTTCCGAAGTCCAGACTGGTTCGCGGCGTGGTACAAATCTGGACGCGGCTTAACAAATACATTCTGTGGTCTCCAGTCGACGTCCAAGGTAGCCGCCGCCGCCGCCGCTGGTTGCTCCTTTATAATTTTTCCGCAAACACCACATTTGGTCACCTCGATGACGTGTGCCACGAAGAATGAGCAGGTTTTCTTCTTAGAGTCCTTTTTAGAGTATATATGTTTACCAATCCACCCTGTATCTCGCTTGCACATCCTCCCTCTCTCTCTCTCCACTTGTTAGTGATCTGATGTTGTCGTTTGCCTTACTGGATGGTTCGTTACTGATTCTCTACAAAAACAAAAGTAATGTTTACAATTGTCACAGAACTTACTCCCTTCTGTTGTGTCGTAGTGTGTCTCTTAGAAATCGTAGTTGGTCGTATTCGTTTGCTGGGTTTCGTGTTTTGAATGTTTTGGAATCGTTTGTTGGTTAAGTTTAGAACATTCTAGAAAAATAAAAAAATAAAAAAAATATTATATGTATACTTACATTCAAAGCTTATTGTGGCTAAGAGTTAACGTGGTTGTAGATTAGTTTTATGGACAAAAACAGAATCCAAAATTAAAGAAGAAATCAAAAGTAATCATGGTTTTGTGACTGTATAAATATAATTGATAATTCTTGTATCGTCATATGGACTCAATGCAATTTTTTGTTGGGAAATTGTGAATACATTGTGATGTTTCGAAATTACTTGAGTATTTTGGAATAAACTTTTATGGTAATCATCAAACGTTATTTCCTTCAAAGCTGACTTTTGAATTCCTTTCGCTTTTTTAATAACATGAGAGTCCTTGTTGTTGTTACCTGACTCAGGCAAAGTTCTCAAAGCATACATTTTTGAACGCAACCCAATAAAGTGTGTCATGATTCGACCTTGATTTTCATCTTTCATTAATCCTATAACTTTTTTGTTTTTCAATGGAATTCCAAAAACGTTGTTTTCTGGATAATCGGACGTATCAAATCTATCAATGTCTTCTTTGATGTGTTTGTAAATGTCATCAATATTTGAAAACTGATATATTAAACTATCTGTATCAGTATATAGTAGTTTTGAATCATCTTTGAATTTGTGTTTAATATAATTGTAATGAAAATCATATATGTAAGTTTTAGATATGTCCAATACCGACATACCAATGAAAATTGGTTTGTTGAATGTAGCTTTCAGTCTATTCATTTCAATTATGACCATATCTTTATCAAATATAGTGCAGCTATGAAGGTTAGGTTGTGCAATATAGTATTTTGCACCGTATCTTCCTGACCACTTAGTAACCAATTTTATGTCTTTATATCTCCTAACATTTTCAATCGTTTTGCCATAAGGGGCTTTATTCATTAATTTGAAAAAAATTTTCTCGAAATCATTTGTACTTTGCTTTCTGAGCTCTGTATTAAGATCAATGTATTTTTTTTAACCAAGTTGACTGTCTAAATTTTAAACAACGATGAACTTTCCTAATGACAAGTCCCAGCTGCTTAGCTTGTTTCAGTAATGCATAATGTACTACATACTTTTGTTTTTCGTACAAAGTTGTTAACAATTTTGGTTTATCAGAATACAAAGTAGGTGGTACTAAGTGTTCGATAAGATAAATGTATACATGATATGAACCGATCAATGGTCATAGATGAAATAAACAAGTGTTATTATGGTAACCAGTATTTATTCACTTTTGAGAAAACGTAAACACAATTGACCACAATTTACAGTATTAAATCTTTGAAATACATTATAATTGTACTGTATTCTACAGGGTCCACTACAATTAAAATATACAATTGCTTCCAATGGTGGTTCTAAGTTTCCATATGTATCTAGGTAAACCACCAAGTTTCCTTTTTTCTTATATGCAGTCCAGTGAGTACCTGGTCCAGTAGATGTATCCAAATTAATGATTCCTCTTTCATTGATTTTTATTTTTTTGGGAAACTTATCTCGCATAAATACTCCTCGAAAATACGGTATTTTTAAACGCTTTGCATACTTTTCCAGTTCAAAGTTTGTTAACGGGTGACTATTTGGAATTGAAATTTTTTAACTGCTTGTTGCTTCTTTTTCATTTTCCTTTACCTCACAACTGGTTTCAGTTAGTGTATGGTTTCAGGAAAAGACCCATTCCCGTTTTATAGGGTCTCAAAAACATTCCCTTTCCAAGTGCTACAGCTTCCATCATTTTATTATGACGTTGAGATTCTTGTAATTGCTGCTTCGCGGAGTTTGCATCACTGACAGCCTTAGCAATACCAGCAGCACCGCCAGACAAAGCTCCAAGGGCTGATAGCCAGCAAAAATTGGGATTAGTGGTAGTACACCTCCTTTTTTCGGTATCTTCACTATACGATTTGGCGGCTTTCTTGCACCTTTCTTCAAATTTTGTGCCTCCCTCAATGCTACAAGTATTGCTTCTCCAAAGGTAGTAGGTTTTTGAGCTACCACATGCTTCCCTATTCGTTTAATTGCACTAGAAAAGCTAACCTTCCTTTTCGTACTTGATTTACTTTGATTTTTTTTCTGTCGCTGTGATCGTTGTTGTCGTTGGTCACTTGTAGCTCTTTTCTTAGGTTTAACATTCTTCTTACGTGCCATTTTCATTACTGAGTTTAAATGTCTGGATTACTAGGTACTTATAACTTTAACTTTCTTAGGTATGTTATCATCATCGTCATCATCATCATCATAATCATCATGATCATCTGGTTGAATCTTCCGTTTTCGGTTATGTTGGTTCCATGGAGACGGAATTACGTCACTCATATCTAATTTACGTTGTTTGTTTTCCTTTACTCCATCAGATTCCCTTTTACGTTTTGTACTGCATTTTTTCTCGGGAATTATAACCGGATCATCCAAATCTATTTTTCTTTTTTTTCACTTGTTCAGCATTCAATGAAGTAGTAGTAGTAGTGACTGAATCCAGTTTTCTCTTTTTTGGTTTGTTCTTTTGCTCTTCTGCTATATAAGTGTCCATGTATTCAATTGTAGCTTTTGGTTTTTTCTTCTCTTGATTTTTTCTTTTATGTCCTCTAACGCTCCTTTCACACCTAACGATTTTGGTCGTACGGAAAAAAGACGTACGACTTTTTATCGTAGCTGACTTGCTTTCACACACAAAGATATATTATCGTTGTTTTAGTTAGTGTACATCTTGAGCATAGGGCGTCGCAATGAATCGGGCAAAAATTGTTGCGTGTTGGTTAATTTATCGACGTAGAAAGAGGCAGAAACGTAATCGCCTACATTGGGTCCATCCGATCAATGAAAGGAGAGAAGAAACAGGTTTATTTCACACACTTTTTGAAGATCTAAGAAATGACGAAAAGAAATTTTTTAATTATTTCCGCATGTCAATGGCTTCCTTCGATGAATTACATGACAAACTGAAGAATGTTCTTCGAAGTCAAAATACAAAAATGAGAAATTGCATTCAACCCATTGAAATGTTGGCTGTGACTTTGAGGTAAGTTACAAAATATGTCTATGAATTAGGTACATGTGTGCTTTAACAATTACACGTTTGAAAACTGGATCATACAATAATTCATTGAATAGGTATATTTATATTTTATATTTATTAACAATATGAAAGTAGTCGAAATACATTAGAGGGTAGTAAAATCTATACTATCAACTGTGCAAGAGTCCTGAGAAAGTGGAGTCGAGCTCTCCCTCGGATCCGTCATTGGGGAGGTCATTCCTGATGACTGGCCGCAATCTTGATAATACTGTCGTGCTGATTGCGTACACTGATTACTAGTCAATGAAGGCTGAGTAGGAAGAAGTTGCGTAAAGGATGGTGTAGAATGTGCTGTCAATGACTGGGAGTGAGTGAATGGAGAATGTTGAGGAAAACCAGAAGCAGGCTGTACCGGAAACTGTTGGGAGTGATAGAGTGTAGGAATGGACTGAACAAACGCTGGAGGAACTTGAGGAGCCGCTTTCTTTTTTTCATTTATATTTGCAGTCACTTGCAACACGCCCATTTGGAATTGAAGTAATTCATTTTCATCAAATCTGTCTAGGTGCGGCAACAAGCTGTGGAAAAAAGACATTTTGCTGTTGGGTTTTTCGGGTTCCAATGCCTTCATAATTTTTAATTCAACCTCATCAGGTTTGCGATGCTTCCTGTTTCTATTATAATTTACTGTATGTACTCCTTTATTTAGCTCATTAATGTGTGTACTAATAGTTTCCTCCATGTCATCAGTCTCGTGCCTTGTTTCATCATCTAAACTATCAACTGTTTCTCTAACTTCGCACAATTTATTTAAAAATTGAAGCTGATTATTAAATACATATTTCTTGGGTTTTTTGCATCTTTTCCACTTTTCTTACTGTCTTTTAATTTCCTTTTGGACCTAGCGAAAGCATCTCGGAGATTTGACCAGCGTCTTACAACGTCCTTACCTAAAATATATAAATAAACAATAAAAGGTTTTGATATAATTGTACCGTTTCTGTCTCATAATGAAATAATAAACACTAATATTTTGAGACCGGCCACTTTTTCCTATTACATTTGTATACAAAAATGTTCGCAATTTGGTGACAAGCAATATGTAACTATATGATTCTTTTCAGATATCTGGTAAGGGGCTGTACGTTTACTGACCTACACTACACTTATCGAATTGGAATTTATACTGCAAGTAAGATAGTAAAAGAGGTTTGCAAAGCAATCTGGGCAGTTCTTCAGGTGGAGTCTATACCTTCACCAACAAGAGAAATTTGGGAATCTATTGCTTCCGATTTTGAAACCATTGCAAATTTCCCTCATTGCATAGGGGCAGTAGATGGCAAACATGTACGTCTTACTTGCCCATTTCGCAGTGGGTCGATGTATTTTAACTATAAAGACTACTATTCTGTAGTTTTAATGGCAGTTGCGGATTCGAAATACCGATTTGTATTTGTAAACGTTGGAAGCTATGGTAAAGACTGTGACTCGTCAATATTCAAAAGATCCAGTCTATGGCAATCCATAGAATCCAACACACAACCACTACCGGAAGACAAGTGTCTACCAGGAACTTCCATACTTCTTCGTAGGGGATGAGGCATTTGGACTACATCGCCATTTATTACGACCTTTTGGGGGAACACATTTAACACCTGAGAAAAGAATTTTTAATTATCGCTTGTGCCGAGCTCGACGGTACATCGAATGCGCTTTCGGTATCCTCAGCAATAAATGGCGAATCTTTCACAGATCTCTTAATGTAGAGCCAGATTTTGCAGTGGATGTTATCAAAGCTTGCACTGTGTTACATAATTTTGTACGCGACAGAGATGGTTTTTTGGTGGAGGATATTACTACAATAACAGGTTTGGAAGATCTACCACGAGAACATGCAATACGAGGGGGTATATCCGCAAATAATGTAAGGAACATATTGTGTACATATTTTGTATCAAATATTGGAAGCGTACCGTGGCAAATGTCAAAAATATAAGTACATAATGACTCTTCATCTGATAGCAGTTCGTGAAATTATTCCCAAGAAAAACAATAATAAATAAATGCATAACTAATCAATATATAGTATGTAAGTACGAGTACGTTTAGTTATTTTTGTTACCCAAGTTGAGATCCCTAATCAGCGTCGATTATTTCATAATTTAATTCTTAATCACAAATAAAATTAAATCGCTACGCTTACCAAATGCATTTTTTTCTGTATCTCCAAGCTCATCAAAATCTGATTTTATTTCCAGGAGAATCTCACGCCAGGCATTCCTTGTTGCATTCCTGTCTTTATAAATATCGAGGGTTTTATCCCATAGCACAGGTCTAGCTTAGACCAGTGAAATCAGAAATTCACCGTCAATATTTTCAGCCATTTCGCTAATAGACTAATTGCGTGCCACTGGATCCACCCTATACGACAGGTATAAACGACTACAATTCGTTATGTGTGAAAGCATTCATTTGATGCCGTTTACCACTGTTATCATGACACGACACGACCGTCGTCTATTGCAGTGGCATTGAACGGCAGCTGGACGACAACGACACGACAATATGTCGTTGTCGTGCTGTATGAAAGATCTCGTATATTTCTTTAATGCACTAAAGGAATGTGGTCGTACGTCTTTTTTCCGTACGACCAAAATCGCTACGTGTGAAAGGAGCGTTAATCAGACTTTGGTTTTCGTCCACGCTTAACTTTCGATGTTTCATGTTTTATGTCAGAGTTCTTTTTGCTTTCGCGTTTCTTGATTTCTCTTACTTCTTTATAATGGATAAAATGTACGATACGACGAACAAACGAGGAATCTGCGGAAAGCATGAAGAACCTCGATTTATCGTCTCAGGCTTGGATGCTTTCCTCAGCATTTTTTTCTTCCACGTGCATGCTTTTCTGCAACATAACTCCCCCCCACCTAGTCTGAAAGCTGATTAGGAACGTTTTCTGTTTTCAGGAGGTTTTCTTCTTTTTGCATCTTTCTTGGGCCTCTCTTCACTGGATTCGGGATTTTCATCATCTTCCTTGTCTTGTGGTAGGTCGTGTTTCTTCTGGATTTGTTTTCTCCAAATATACCAAAAGGTTACTGCTACTGTAACAAGCAGAAAAATAGTAAAAACTGAGCTGCTAGGAAACCAAATTAAGGTATCAATAGCGGCGTCTTCTTTCATTTGAAGAAAATTTGCTTTCTCTTGCATTTCTTTGATCCTGCCGACGTCAATAGTCTTGGGGATTAAAGCTTTCTTGGACACATAGTTCGATCTTGCATTCCAATATTTTATTTCTGGAAGGACCAAAAGGTTTTCTTTGATTTGATCCTCCTTGTTCCAAAACTTGGATGAGTTGATTTGTATTCCACAATTTTCGGGTATTTCGACTAAACTTGGCGTTTCTAAAATTAGTGGTTGTTGAGTACCATATAACTTGACTGCTGTGATCAGCGGGAATGACCAAAATGTGTTTTGCTGATATCGCTTCATTAATAGGACTGGATTTTAGTCCACTGTTGTATGCAAACTTATGCAGATGATACTCAGTGTTTGGTTTCGATCCATCAAAGGTTGATGATGTTTCTTTTAAAGTTAATTGAAGATCAATCCTAATAAAACTACTGCAATGTTGTACTGTTCGAAGAACTCCTACCGTGAAATGAAACAGAGGATTTGTATTGTTTTGGATGAGACACTCATCCCTTTTGTGGATTACTCCAGGAATCTCGGTGTTACCCTGATTTAAATATGAGATTGGATCGGCATGTCTCTTTCTTATCTAGAGTAACGTATATGCGTTTGAAACTACTCTATTCTAATCGATTCGTCCTGAATTTTAAAACCCGAAAAAAGCTCGCCAAAAGTCTAGTGTTGTCTGTCATTTCTTACTTTCTTGTTCTTTATTACCCATGTTTAGACTACGAGCCGTTTTACACACAAGAGAATTACTCCAAAAATTATGGTCATAATTATGCCGAAAATTTGCATGGAAAAAATATGAAGATTTTCTCTACAACCTGTATGACACAAGCAGACAAAATTTCCGAGTAATTCATATGATACGCCTGCGCATTAGAGTAATTTTTCGAAAGGACATAACCTTAACGGGTATGACGTCCAATATAATCGGAAAGACAACAGACGTCGTTGATTTAAATTTATTTTTGAAATCGAGATCTTGGTTAATATTATAAAACTTCTCAATGCTTGGACTATCGCATCCAGCGCCTGACGCCGCAAATTTCTGTTTTTGTAATTGGGTGACTTCACCTTGAACAGGTTTGCCCATTTTTGGTACTCCTACAACAACAGTGTAACTTCTTCCTGATTCCACGACATTATGAATAAACAATAACAACAAACGCTTCTTCGTAGTACGACTCGAACAGGACCATACCCACAAATGTTAAGTGGGGTTATGCTGTTATGTTGACGTTGACATTTGATAATGACATGCACGGAAATAATCCTCTGCGCCGATTCTCGCGCATATTCTATAGAACGGGTTTTATATTTTTACCATGAAAATTTTCACAAGAATTCTTTTAGGTGTAATACGACAGCAAAAATTTTCGGCATAATTATAACCATAATTTTCGGAATAATTCTCTTGTGTGTAAAACGGCTCTACGTCCACAAAAGGAAACTCCAGAAAGTTCAGAACAGCTTTTGTAGGTTTATTTTTGGATTGCGCAAGTTTAGTCGCGTCTCAGATAAAATCAAAGAACTCAACTGGTTGCGAATTGATAAGTTATTTTTATATCTTTTGACCGTCTTCACGCATAAAGTTCTATTATCTAACAGACCAGCTTACCTTGGTAGCAAATTAGTTCCCCGTGGTAGTTTTGTTACCAGAGCTCTTAGATTTAATGCTAATTTTAACATGCCTCCTCACAATACCTCGGTCTTTGAAAGAGGGTACACCTATAATGCTGTTAAGCATTACAGTGCAGTCAACAGTTGCTATCGATACAAATAGGTTGCTTCTTTTAAGAAATTAATGAAATGTCAGCTGCTTGAGTCCATTTAGTTCAGTTTTTCTTGTGTTCATGTGCTTTTTTTTTACTATTTTCTACTATTTTTGTTTCAAATTTAAAACTCTCACAATACTATCTGCATTTGTCTCGTGCAGTTAATATTGTCATGCTTATGAACTGTATTTTTTTGTATGTTATTATTTTGTTTATGTGTTTCAGTATTCTACAAGTCCCTACAGATAATTTATTTTGTTTCCTACTAACCTTTTACATAATCTAGTTTGTTTTTCTATTCGTTTTAGCCACACTTCCGCGTCTCTCATTGTAAAATTATCAAATAAAGTTTTTCGTAAACTAATAATTGATAGTAGAACACTGTCTGTTTATTTGATGATATTTTTAACCTTGTTTGAAGACATTCGAAAAGACATTTTATTTTTCAAAAAAAGAACACTTTAAGCAAACAAATTACGCAAAGATATATAAAAAATTGCTCACCCCTAATTTTTTACCATTTTAAATGATGCTAGGGCCCGGCTTTTCCCTATGTCCACTTCCCCTTGGAAGATTATTGAGTATTTGCCGTTACACAGTTCGTTAATGGCCGGCCGGTATACGTCAGTCACCCGCTGAGGTAGAAATAGAACTTCTTCGTCAGGACCTGAACTGCTTCCCCAAATTTAGAGTGAGTTGACCACCTTTACTGAGTGTATCGCAAACGGTGTTCCTTCAATTTTCTTACTGCTTTACGGTCTGCAATTGAAGATGCAGCAATAATTTTTGCCAAATCCATCTATAACAAAATTGAGTCGTCTTACTACTTTGAAGCATAAAGCGAAATAAACGTACTAAACAAAAATGAAGGCGAGAAACATTCATTATCTTACACGAACACTTAAAAAACATAGTTGCACTTAGAGACATGAAAAAGAAAAATATTAAATAAAATAGCACTTACTTTTTTTAACTTCGCTCCCCTCTCTTGTAGCACTATTGTACTGTGGTTGTTGTTGTTGTAGCGTTGAATGTGAAAGAATGATACCTCCTGCATGCGCTCGTTCAACACAAATACATGATCGATATGACGCAAGTGCATGAGATAATTGTAACGTAAAAACGAATCATATTCTCAGTGCTACTATTATCGAGAAAACAACACTTTAAACATTCGTTGCGGTTGCGGTATTTTGCATATAATTTCTTAGTCATACATGAATGCATCGCTTGTCCGGAAATTCCAGAGATATCTTTTGGATTATGCCTCGTTTAAAAATCGCAAATACATTTAAGACTAATATGATGCTTAACAGTTTAATTGATATATTATGTTGAGCGGTGTGATGTCACTATTTTTAGTCTTGTGTGTGTATGTCAATGCGACCAGTGGGGCTAGCGTCATTTTTAGGACACGTCTTGCTATATACGATAAGGTCCGTGTCCCCATGAGTGACCCCCACACACACACACACTTGTCATGTGAATGGGGCTTACTTCGATCTGACGGTATACCGTCGATCCACCGATCCGTCGGCACCTCTTGCCATGCGGGTGGGGCCCCGACCTGAGAAATTTCTATCGACCCCCTGTATGTGGACCACTCTACGACACATGATCAGCACGCCATCCTACAGACAGGTGCGACAACAAATCTTGTGTGTGGCGTCATCTAGCGGACA